AAAGACGTACTTATTTTGAAGACAGGTACTGATTGTTAGAATAAATATAAGTGTAACCTTATCTTGACTATTCAAATGATATGTTGTTTCGTTTAGAACATATTAAATATTTGCCTAAGTGCCTTCATAACATATGAAATAGACTTGTTGGGTGAAATAAGTTTAAATTTCTTAACATGACCACAGTACGAGCAAAAAACAAAAACAAAAAATGGCTAGGTCTGTCATCATCATCATCATTATCGGAGAGAAACTCTTAACTTCTCGGGATGTCTGCAACAAAAATGAAAATGTTAATTTTAGATTATTATAATAATTTACAAAACGTGCAAAGAAATATTTCATGATATAAAATAACGTACTACTTCTCCGCTCTGCATAACTGAGTCGCTAGTCATTGTCTCTTCCTCTAGCAGCCTAACTTGTCAGGTTTCTCGGATAATAGTAGTCAACTCCGAACTCTGAAAATGCTTTTCTCTCTCTCTTACTTTTACTGGGACTAATAGATAGTCAACCCAATTCCTACATAGAAATAATAAGTATACATATACTCATTCAATATTCATAAGATAGAAAATAATAATAAAAAAATGAAATATACTCACAAAGTCCAAACCAGCTGTATGGTCCATAGCAGAAGTATGTGATGCTTGAAACATAACCTTCTTAAACGTTCAACTTAAACTCAGATGTGAAACACACCGAGTATATATACACACGCTTAACCCATATGTAACTTAATTTTGACATTAGTCTGCTATAGGACAATGACATCAAGTTGCAAGACATATGTTTCCTAGAACATTGATTTAGGTAATAGCTGTACAATGTAGAAAAAATCGAAGCATATAGAAAACAAAAACATCAAAAATTAATTTTCGAAAACACCTGATTATAAAACAGATAATTGTGAAACATATAAATTGATATGAATTATGTACTCTGTTTTATAAAGTTAATTTTATTCTCGTATAATGTTACATAAAACAAATACAGTGTATATATTATAATTGAATAAACATATATGAAATTGTACAAAGAAATTCCTTTATAATGAAGCCAAATATATATTCTGTCTGACTTCACAAACATTTAACTTTCGCATGAATGTTGAGTGTGTGTTTTCTTATAGCAAATGCTTTT